TCTGCCCAAAAAGGCCACAGGGTAAAATCTGTTCATTGAAATAAAAATAAAAATATTGATAAATTTTGATAGTCAAGGAAATAGTGTAAAATCCTGGAACTTCATACTTCCAGTAGCCTTGCAGCTCTTCAGAACCTTTAATTTAATTGGATCCCTATGGGTTGCAGCCCTTTCGTTTTTTGGGCTAGGTTCCGTTGACATTAAATTTGCTGCGGACGAACCAAAAGGCAAGCCAGCAGACTATTCTTGGTGAGGTGGTCAGGGGCATTTTTTTAGTGTATGGCAGGGTTTTTGCAAAATCTGTCCACATTCTTAGGATGCCTTCCTTCTTCCAACTAATATGCATGGTACGTGGCTGATAATTGGCCGTAAAGGCCCTGGTGTTGAGTGCAAGGTCCATGCTAGCGTGAATAGTACATGAATCTGCAGATGAATGCACCATCAACGTTTTCCAAGGTGCTGATGCTGCATTTCTCGTTGCACACTGAGAAGTTGGGGAACACTAACAAGAAGAAAATCGAGAAAGAGAAATTTTTGGAAAAGTAAGCTCCGAATTGATTTTCAGTATACAGCAGAACCCCATTAATATGGACACCAATTTGCCAAAAAAAAAATTGGCTGTATTAACGGGGTGGCTGTATTACCAGCGTAGGCTCAAATTTCGTGACTTAAGGGCCGTAATTACAAATACACCAGGAATACACCGTACATCGCACGTACAGTAATTGAAAAAACTTCTTAAAATTTTCCTTCAGTACATGAAACTAATTTAATATTTGGCTGTAAATCGCCATAAGTGCATTTTAAGTGTACTGTATTCTAAAAACAGTACAAGAATAAGCTTAGATTACTAGATCAATAAAATCGCCATGTCACAGGCACTTTGGCTTTCTAAATTTCAGTCGAGAAGCTGCATTAAAGGGGTGGAATTATAAGGGATTCTACTGTTTGGGATTTTAAAACATGGCTTTTGGCCGTATCAATGGGTGACCACATAAAAGTGTTTTTGTTTATAAGAAAATGTATGGTCGTTTTGCAGCGCCAAAAAAAACTGGCCATAATAATGAGGTGACCATTTATTGAGGTGGCTGTAAGGCAGGGTTCTAACGGGGTGGCTGTATTACTAGCATAGGCTCAAATTTCATGACTTAAGGGCCGCAGTTACAAATACACCAGGAATACACTGTACATCACACGTACAGTAATATTGAAAAAACTTCTTAAAATTTTCCTTCAGTACATGAAACTCATTTAAAATTTGGCTGTAAATTGCCACAAGTGCATTTTAAGTGTACTGTACTCTAAAAACAGTACAAGAATAAGCTTAGATTACTAGATCAATAAAATCGACATGTCACGGGCACTTTAACTTTCTAAATTTCAACTGAGTGGCTGCATTAATGGGGTGAAATTATAAGGGATTCTACTGTTTGGGATTTTAAAACATGGCCGTTGCATATTAACGGGTGACTGCATAAACGTTTTTTTTTGTAAGATAATGTATGGTTGTTTTGCAGCGCCAAAAAAAACTGGCCATAATAATGAGGTTACTGAGGTAGCCGTAAGGCACGGTTCTACTGTATAATCAAGTTAAATCAAGTTAAATGTATTATCCATTTCTCTCATATTTTGTCACTATAGTGGTGCAAAGCATGTTTATCAGCTTACAGAGGGTAGTGCGAAGCTATGTCATCTGAAAGGTTTCATAAACTAAAGTTTACATTTCACAATTTAGCTTTGCATTAAGTAGAGCCTTATTACAGCTTAGTACAGAATGAGTCTTCGGTAAGATAGGATCGAGTGTTAGCAAAGTCTAGAAATCCATCCAAATTAAGTTAATTCAGGCTACACTTCAGTGCATAGTTTTTATTTTTTAAATAAGTTTACAAGCATGTTTAGTAGCTTGTCATCTGAAAGCTTCAATAAGCTTTAAACTTCAGTGGTAAACGAAACTTTCTCATTATTTTCTATTGCATCTCTACGGCCTTTGGTCATTGAACACGGATTGAATAACCGATTGAATAATAAGAATTTGTGGGGTCATGAATATATATTTCAGGTTGAGTGTTGTTATGTAACACATTACAGTTTTCATTGTATCTTTGCCTGCGAATACAGCTGTCTCTCTTTGGTGTGCAACAAACGAAGATTGAAGTCTTGCAGACAGGCGGGTAAATGAGGTAAACATTGTTGTGGAATGCTCTAACAGGGTTCCTATCCCTAAACTAGACTTTTAGAAGACTTCTTTAAAGTTTAGGGGTAAGGAATCTGTTAAAGCAGTTCACAGTGTTTACAACCTTTATCTGCCAGTCTGCAAGTCTGCAGTCTGTGTTTGTCGCACACCGGTCTCCCCTCGTTCCTCACCATTCGCAGGCTGATTGTATATAAGCAACTGTGGATAAAATTGTTGAACTAAGTATGAGTCTTGTTTACTGTGTTGTTCAATTCAGTTTCTACTCTCATGATCCGCCGAGATTCCCTTTGTTAGCACTGGAACTAAAGGGGCTTTCTCTGATTCATGTACACGATTTTGAAAGCGGTTCTCATCATTTACATCTGTAAGNTCATCTGAAAGGTTTCATAAACTAAAGTTTACATTTCACAATTTAGCTTTGCATTAAGTAGAGCCTTATTACAGCTTAGTACAGAATGAGTCTTCGGTAAGATAGGATCGAGTGTTAGCAAAGTCTAGAAATCCATCCAAATTAAGTTAATTCAGGCTACACTTCAGTGCATAGTTTTTATTTTTTAAATAAGTTTACAAGCATGTTTAGTAGCTTGTCATCTGAAAGCTTCAATAAGCTTTAAACTTCAGTGGTAAACGAAACTTTCTCATTATTTTCTATTGCATCTCTACGGCCTTTGGTCATTGAACACGGATTGAATAACCGATTGAATAATAAGAATTTGTGGGGTCATGAATATATATTTCAGGTTGAGTGTTGTTATGTAACACATTACAGTTTTCATTGTATCTTTGCCTGCGAATACAGCTGTCTCTCTTTGGTGTGCAACAAACGAAGATTGAAGTCTTGCAGACAGGCGGGTAAATGAGGTAAACATTGTTGTGGAATGCTCTAACAGGGTTCCTATCCCTAAACTAGACTTTTAGAAGACTTCTTTAAAGTTTAGGGGTAAGGAATCTGTTAAAGCAGTTCACAGTGTTTACAACCTTTATCTGCCAGTCTGCAAGTCTGCAGTCTGTGTTTGTCGCACACCGGTCTCCCCTCGTTCCTCACCATTCGCAGGCTGATTGTATATAAGCAACTGTGGATAAAATTGTTGAACTAAGTATGAGTCTTGTTTACTGTGTTGTTCAATTCAGTTTCTACTCTCATGATCCGCCGAGATTCCCTTTGTTAGCACTGGAACTAAAGGGGCTTTCTCTGATTCATGTACACGATTTTGAAAGCGGTTCTCATCATTTACATCTGTAAGGTAAATGCACATGTTCGCCCGCACTTCCTAACCATCGGTTACTGCTAGTTTGTTTATTGTTTTCCTAGCCGGTTGCAAACAAATCTTGTCAGGTCTTCCGACACCTTCATGTTTTCATATTATCGTAGGATTTTGCTTTGACGATTTGATTGGGCCTTCCACTGCGTTTATATGATTGCGAAGTCTTGTAAAAACTGTTTTGAAAGTCGTTTTTAAAAAGTATCACAATATAAACTTACCTAAATCGAAAACCACTAATTTGGGAAGATCTTTTCCGCCATTTTTTCCCGACATTTTTAACTAGAGCCCACGTTTTCGCATTATTTTTTGGCGATCGGGATTAAGGAAGCTGGGCTGGACTTAATACGTATTGGACAAGCGGGGACGGGAGAGAGAGTCGTAATTTTTGTTCCGGGTTTTCTGTAGCCTGCGTGGCAGGCGTTAAAAGGGGAAGGGGAAGTTCTCGCGCCCTAATTCCGTTCCCCTTCCTTTTCGAACGCTTGCCACGCAGGCTAGGTTTTCTGGAAAATGATACCATTTAAAACGTTTTCAAGAAAAATTGTCTTTTGATTTTGAATACTAAATTGGATCTCTGAAGCCAGGCAGGATATAAAGTATGTACAAAAAAAATTGATTTTGGAAAATAAGAGTTGTGTAATTTTTCCAAGATTTTTGCACTGCAAGGATATCGTGAAGGTCCAATGATTAATGGCACAATAAACTTCAGTAGCATCAAAACAAGGGGGGCAGGAGGGGGGCCTGATCATTGGTGAAAGGGGAAGTGTACCTCTTCAACTGTAACTAAAAGACTGATGTTTTTAGACCTCTATCCAATATGCTTTGTTTGGCCGCTAAAAAGATTTTTTAACGCCCGAGTTGGTGGCTGGCCAGGATATTACTCCTGTACTTAAGACTGACTGAAATGTTGACATGTATAACACAGCACAATCTGTCGCAAAAGTGCAATACAGAACCAGTAAAACAAAACGTTAAATTATGGAAAAACACACTTTAAATAATCCTGTTAATCTCTTGTGCGCATTTAACCTGTATTATGCTTAATCTCCGGTCAGAGATGCCCCACTTTAACATAACTATAATGGTAGTTTAAAACGAGGTGCCGTAAACACCGTATCGATGTACTCAAGTTTTATTGTGACGTACATAATACATGAAAGTCTTCTCATTCATTGTATTGTGAACCGTAAACAAGCAACCTTCTCGAAAACTAGCCGCTGACGCAAAATATCACGAAATATAAAGTAAATAGCTTACTCAGTCCTATCAACAATATATAAATTTCACAACTGGTTCTGTTGGATTGCTATTTACGTCTCAAAGGTTTGCAACGCAATGTTTATTTCGTCCAGAGATAATTACTATGCATACAGGAAACACGAAATTGACAGACGTTTGTAAAGAATGAATGAATGGCGGCTTTTTAAATTTTTCGGTTACATCGCACGGAACACGTTTGTTCGCTTATTTCCAAGCGTTATGGGCTGGAAATTCTTGTCAAACGTTAAAAACGTTCATAAAGAGGCTGGATCTTGAAATGTTCATCAAAGTCTATCATCGTAAAATCGTTCGTCTAACATCACAACGAAGTGTAAACAAAGACTCTCTGCAACCGCAAAGCAGTGGTTTTCCGAGAAATTCAACGAGTTCCCTATGTGGTTTATTCTTGTTAAAACGTTCCCAGTAATCACATGTTTCGCAATATATCAACTCTACAACAATCCAAAGGACTTGAGAGCATTTTCACCTGCATCGATCTAGCCGTTTCAACTGCTTGTTTCGGCCAGGTGACGTTTTCAACCTTCTGACGGCCTCTTTTATCAGGTTACCCTGTTCCAAGAGTTCCATTAGAATGCCATAGGAAGAAGACGAAGAGTTCGATTTCCTGAAAGGATCCGCTGTAGGACACATAAAAGCTCGAAAATTTATTTCACTTTCGATACCGTCCACTGACGAACGCTCATCACAGTTCAAAACATCTTCCACCCTTTCTTTCTGATTGACTTGAAGTAGGTCGCGAAAATCAGAAATAACTGCCTCCATGGCATCGTTGTTCCTCGCTTTTAACCATAAGTTCCCTTGGCAGTAGCTTTTCGTTGAAGGCATGACTGTCTTGAAAAAGAAGGAAGAAAGAATAACGCGAGATTTTAAATAAACGCAAACGTAAACAGCACAGCGATTGATGACTCTGCGTTCTGTTATTGTTTGGCGATTGAAAGGAACTACAACGCTGGCTTTGAGCACGTGGAATCGGTATTTGTGAAAAACAAAGGTTCTGATTGGCTGATGAACAATGCTCTAACTGACGATTTAACCGCGACCTTGAATCTCATTGGCTAACAATGATAAGGCCACGCCAAGCAATTGTCATATTTATTTCCGTACTTTCAATGGCGGGAACTGGATAGCTACTATTTTTATCCAGTTATCTGATCAACGTTCGATTTTAATGGTGAAAAACGAAAGTGTTTGAACGGGGCACGAACGCCAAAACCGAAAGAATACAGGACAGGTATTTTAGAATTATTTTTTGAGGTTGTTCAGAGGGTCAGTGGAATGTAACAAGCTCTCTCAGGAGCCGATTACGTAAGTGGATCCGCCGCTACTGCTTCTTATGAGCCAACAGGGAGCTGACTTTACAGACTTTAGCTGCCTTTCTTATTCCTGTGTATATTCCGATATGCCTGACAATGAAAAATTAAAATATTTGTCTTTTTCTTTTTAAACCATTCATCGTGACTTGCAGCATCGCGCCTGACATTCGTCTAACTCCTTTATTACAATATTCGACAATGGCCCTGTATTGTTATGTACCCGGTCCACATAAATTAGAATACAATCCCGGGGGGAAGGCTCGGCGCGACCCGAAAGGGGTACCTTCTTTTAGCATAAGGTTTGTGAAAAAGTAGGGAAATCTATCAGTTTTAGAACTTAAAGGATCTAAGTTGTATTAAACATCGACAATTACAAGAAGAAGAATTCCTGTTTTGACGATTTCTTCATTTTACCCTGCGGCACACGGTGGTAGTACTTTCTAGTAACAGGTTAATGGGGATGAGCCGCTGGATGGGGTCACAGTTGAATGGCAGGATTGACTATAACAAGGTTGTATTTTCAATAGGGTTACTGGGGTCGCACATTTTCGAGTCTTTAGGGGTAAGACTCTGGTAAATTAAAATGGGAAGATTCGAGGCTAAAAAAAGTCACAGAAACTAACTAAGTCGGGACGGGATCGCGAAAATTACATTTGCTCAAAAGCGACCAGGGAAAATGACTTAGATGGGGTCTTTAATTAATTGGCCACAGAATAGACAATAATAGTGGTTGAAAGAGGCCAGCGGCATATTTGCAGCAAAAATTGACCCAAGTACCACCCCTAGGGACTACTTTAAGGATCTAGAAAAGGGATGCAGGGTTTTAAAGTAACTATTTGAAAGGGGTTACAATTTTTCAACGGAGGTATGCGAAAGGGGTACCCATTTTCTGTCAAAAAAAAATTTTATAAAATAGGCTGAGTATCATGCGTTTCTGGGGGAAACGTGGAAGAGAGAAACTGGAATGGAGAGAGCGAAATCTAAAATCCCCTCTCCCTTAGCCCTTTAGGAAGGTCTGATCAGGCTATATATGAAAAGTCAAGGGGTTAGTGTAGCCTCCCCATATAACTTTTTTAAGACTGTTAACTAGCCCCCCGGAATACAGTTTAATACATTTGTAAAGGAAGGAAGGTTTTCATAACTTCCGACTTTCCAAATCCCAGATCTCTCGCACGGGTGATGGAGCGTGATCAACTGCCAGCTGATATCAATATCAACGTCGCTAACTATGTCCTTCTTAACGAAACGGAACAGGAAATAAAGAAAACATGATCGAAGTCATCACTAACGGTACCATACTCATATCAACAATTTGAGTGGCATTTAAACAAAAAATTGAGTTAAAATCAGCAAAATATTGTCGTTGTTGTCGATATTGTTCAGTTTAGGTATAAGCAATAGTTTGTTGCTCTTCTTTAATCACGAAGCGATTCTTCCTTCTGCCAGTCTTTCCTATATGCGGCCTTGACTTCCAGGAAAGTAAAATTTCAATTCAGTGTACCTGGAGTGGAGCAATAACGGGAAACGCAAACAAAAAAAGAATTTGACCAAATCGCGTGATTCGCTTGCCTCCTGAAGTGTGCCATTCGATTAACTTCCCCTGGAGGAAGGTTGCTCTGGAGTCCCTAACCGTTCAACAAAAGGGTAAACAGATAGATGAAAACATCAAGAGTGAGCTGATGTTTTAAAAGGATTATTCTATCAATGCAGATACAAATGGATAATATCGTTTTTGTTCACTGAAGTGGCATGGCTGTCGCCCGTCATGCTTTCGATTCCGGGCTCAAGTTCAAGTTTATTCCGGCTAAGTAAGCGATGTTTTTTCCCTTTTATTTCAGGGTCTTTTTTGCCATTATTTCCTTAGTATCGTTATACCTGTGTAAAGCTCGCGTGCAAGATTGAATGAGGACCTCATTCTCTCTTGTCGCGTGAAAAACGCATCACCCCTCAACATCTATCAAAAACGGTCTCCTGAATTCTTACTGGCTGTCCACAAACGAGAGTTATTCTCTTGCTAAAACCCGGTTAATGCAGTCTATGCATGATTGGCATTGCGTAAGTGTACGGATGTTGGCAGTCTTTTGATTGGCTGCTATACTTTCCTCCGTATCGGTGTACTTTGATACACCCTAGTTTAATCAAAAATAATGTTCAGTTAAAATTATTGCTGGTTTTTCAAAAAAAAAAGTATCAAGTCATGTGAAGGGTCGGGTCTGTAGAGGTTGTCCAAAACGCCGGAAAAATTAGTGCTCATGTGATATATTATATGTTTAAGCCATGGTTTATAAGAATTGTACAAATGACTTGTACACTACAGTACAAATATTTGATTTAAACTTGCTTGAATTGGCATTTCTTGACCACCGGCTGGAAAAGAAATTTTGCATTCCACCCCAGACGTCAATACAGTTCGAGTGTTCTGATTGGCTCTGTGATGTCAATTGACGTTGCCATTCTCTGTTTCTGAATTAATCAACAATAGCGAAGAGAAAATGGCCGTTCCATAATGTAACAGGGAAAACGATGGCAAAACACTCCCGTCACTCGTCTGTTAAAGATGCACAGATCGCGGGATTGTACGATTTGCAAGAAACTTTAGGATGTGGGCATTTTGCTGTGGTTAAAGTGGCGAGACATGTTTTTACTGGCGAGCGCGTGGCTGTTAAAGTGATCGACAAAACCAAACTCGACGATGTTTCTCTGGCTCACCTAGTCACCGAGGTTCGTTGCATGAAACTCGTGCAACATCCAAATGTGGTTCGACTTTATCAAGTCATCGACACACAGACCAAGCTGTATCTCGTTCAAGAATTAGGCGATGGAGGGGACATGTACGAGTATATCATGAACCACGACCAAGGTCTTTCCGAAGACAAAGCTCGACATTATTTTCGGCAAATTGTACTGGCCATCGACTATTGTCATCAACTGCACATAGTCCACCGCGATTTAAAACTGGAAAATGTAATTTTCTTCAAAAGTTTGGATGTGGCCAAGCTTACAGATTTTGGTTTCTCGAATAAGTTCTCGCCGGGTCAAAAACTTGATACTTCTTGCGGTTCTCTAGCCTACTCTGCTCCCGAAGTTTTACTCGGTGACTCCTACGAGGCACCGGCAGTCGGTGAGTAGTACTATTTTTTAAAGATAATGGTCGATTTATCAATAGCAAATCCAGTTACTTGTGGACACTTTCCTGGGTTGAATCGCAGCTCGTCTTTAGCTAAAGTATACCCTTGCGTGTTAAAAACATATCCTTTACTTTGCCGCTGGAATTTTCTCGTTCCATCTCCGGTTTAGTGGAAATTTCTATTTCTTATCATTATTATATGCTCCTTATTATTCCAAGTGATAATTTGCAGTTGGTCGGTCGCTGAAATTTACAACCCTGACATTTAAAAAGAAGTCATGCATTAAACGGGCTTACAGTACAATTATCCGTTCTAGAACGTTTCATCAAACAAATGTTATTTATTATTTTAGTCCTTTGGGTGGAAAAAAAACTTAAAAATTTCGACCTAATTTTTAATTTTTGATATCCACTGACTCCACCGTGGGAGGTATATTTACTAGTGTTCATATCTACGCAGTTTGATTGACTATAGTTACGTTATTGGCCATGTAATATATCTGAATATATATCGTGGGTGAAAGTTATTCTTTAGACATCACTGTTGTTTCCGATAGCTACATTGATATTAAAAGATCATAGCCTGGTTCACACGCAAAGCTAGAAAATCTACACCTGCTGTACAATAGAAACAGACTTTAATTTTGAACAATTTTAAATTGGATGTTCGGTTGTTAAAAGAAGTGAAAAGTTAAGTCAGTAATATGTTTCCCCCTTCCTACTGCAAACTAACAGAGGGGGGTCAGCTTTGCCATGATTTTTTTGTTGTTGAAATTACTCAAATTTTAGGATGTTACTTACGTCTAAGCTGTTATTTAGCATGCCGAAAGCCAGTTGTATAAACTTAATGCTGTTTGGTGGTAGTGGGTAGTGGGTTTTAATGAATGTTAAAATAATTTAGAGTGAAAAGTTTTCGAATTGGTAAGTGTTTAAAGACACATTGCACAACAGGATATTTGGATTTGTGTCTGTTTACACAACAAAGGCATCTGGGTATCAACGTATACTTTTCACGAATTGGCATAATTGTTTTTGTCTCTCTGAGGCTCAATAGGTCACCTATGTCCAAGCAAAGAACTCGTCTGAGGACCTTCAGCTGTCTGCTAAAGACAAGTGTCCTGATCCTTATATAGAAAGATAGTTTTAGAGCAGTTAAGGTAACTCATCCAGAACTCAACAAGCACTAATGTTTGTGTTGGAGGTTCTCAGCTTCCATCCTTTAAATGGCTTTTTTAAATCCTTGAATATAGAGCATTCTGTGGACAATTTATTATATCAAAAACTGCCTAAAGCAGTGTAAGGCAAAGAGACTTTGTTCAAGGGGGTGCGGAGGGGAAGGTCATCTTTAAAGAATATGTGCGGTTGGTCATTAGTTTTTCTAACATTGACAACATTTCTGTGTAAACAATAAGATTTATATGGAATGTTAATACACAAAGCTGTTTCTATTTTGAAAACAGGCCCTTGCACAGTACTTAATTCCATCAAACAATTTCACTAGCTGAGGCTTATCACTTATGTCTAAGTCTGTTAATGGAGAAAAGTAGAAAGGAGCAAAATTGTTGGGGGTGAAGGTGGTGGTCATATATTTGACAATATTAGGTTAATTTGGGACTGCATAGTAAAAAAAAAACTCAGTATCAAACTTTTTCTTTCAGATATTTGGAGTCTTGGAGTTATTCTGTTCATGCTTGTTTGTGGGCGAGCACCTTTTTTTGAGGCTAATGACAGTGAGACACTCATCAACATCATGGATGTTCGGTACCAGGTATCTGACCATGTTTCGCCAGCCTGTCAAAAGTAAGTCCATCTGATAGAGTGAAACCTCTTTAAACCTTTAAGGCCTGCAAGGCCCAATATCCATATGCAAATTCTCCAGATGAATTTCCTTACCTTTCGTTAAAGAATTAGTTGAGAGAATTTGATAGTTGATCAGAGCACTTTGCCTTTGGTAAATATCTCAATAATTTTTATAACCTTTTCTTCTCGATATTGTCTTGTTATGATTATTAATTAGAGAAAATTGGTCATTGTTGGGACTTTTAAGGGTTCAAATGGCTCTCCTTACACATCTTGGTTCTGTCTGTGAAATACCGTAAAATTGCGAAAAAAAGCCCCTCCATTTATAAGCTCCTCCAAATATAAGCTCCCCAAACCGGTAACACAAAAAACCGTCCGTTAAATCGCCCCTCCGAATATAAGCCCCCCCAGGAGCTTGTACTTGGAAAATTGCTCTCAAATACAAAGTAAAACAAAGCAAAGACGATAAATTTACTCCCAACTATAAGGCTAGCCCAATCGATTTTGGAATGCAAATTTCCCTCCATACATAAGCCCCTCCGAATATAAGCCCCTCCAAAAATAAGCCCCTCAAAAATGGTCTTTGAAAAATATAAGCCCCGGGGCTTATTTTCGGAATTTTACGGTAGTTTTTTATAACTGTGGTTTGTGTTTTATTATCTTACAGCTTGATAGAAAAGATGCTTGTGCGAGAGCCATATCTTCGCTCCACACTAAGAGACATAATGGAAGACCCTTGGTTTCAGGGGGCCCACCCTCCTGTGCTTCCAACCCCTGTACCCCTAGTAACAGAACTCCCTCTCACACCTGAAGAACACAACTATGTTATAGAAGTAATGGAGGCTGGAAATATTGCTGATCGAGAAACTATTCAGACGTAAGTACATAAATCTTCTAAGCTGATGGTTCATACTACATCACTAGTGATGGTTCATACTGGGACTCGTCAACTTATAATTATCTGGAATTTGATTCAAGAAAGTTCAGAAGACAATTACGAATTCTCAAGTCCTGAGAAGCGCGTTCTAAACACACACGCATTGGACATTATAGTTTTACGGTGAGAAAATGCAAGCGTTTTCGCTTCCTTATGGATTTAGAGTTACTGGGGAACTTGAGTTTAATATACCACAATCCTTTAGCGGCATAGAACAAAGATGGAGTGTAAAAAAACTTTGGCCCTGACTAATCTTGAACCGCTGTGTTTATAGATAAACGAGCACGATCTTGCAATCGAAATGCAGTTTCGCTTAATTGATTAAATGGAATAAAAATCTGAAACCAGATTGAAATACCAATCTGAACGATCCAAGTGCGGTGGTGGATCGTTTAGATTGCAATCTTAGATTGGTTTAGTCCTTAATGGAACGAAAAATCAAATTTTGGATAGCAAAATCCAGATTTCGATTGGTTAAAAGGAATGCAACCCAAAAATGTCGCTGCCGCTTAAACTCGCTAATATGTCAAGCACTCGTGTGCCAAAATATTTTGGCATCCGGCGAAGTGTTTTATTGTTAACAGGCATAGTGATAAAATGGTCCATAAATTGATATTTTTGCGCTTACAGGTCGCTCGAGAAGAACACTTATGATCATGTGACTGCCACATACTACCTTCTGGCAGAGCAACTTCTACGACGTCTGAAAACAGCCAACAACACTTTCAATTCAGCTATCACTAGAAGAAGAACTAATGGGCGACTGTCTCTTCCAGAAAACGTGCGCCGAGAACAAGATTCAAAACCAAGGTATGGTGACCAACGCAGCTTGCAACAACTTGATTTCAATGTTTCAAGACAGTTTTGAACATAGGTGGTAAAACACGCAACGTCCCTTTTCAACTCGTTTTGTAGCGTTGCAAACTTAGGCTACGTGCAAAGGGGCGCAATAACTCCCAACATTGTTGGGAGTAGTAAGTCAACAATAGGGCCGTTTATACGAGAGAAAATAATCCGCGGCTTACATAAGACGCGAAAGGAAACATTTATACGAGTACGGCTTATATTAGACGCGAACTGCTCGTATAAATGGTTCACGGCTTAGTTCGCGGCCAGATCGGTCCAATGATGACGTAGTTTGGTTTGGTGCCTCGTTTTGGGGTAATTGCGTTTGTATCTCGCAACAAAGGCTTGGGCGAGCAAAAAAGCTAAACGACTGGCTTTGGCCCGTAAAAAACGCTGTTTTTTTTCACTGTCTTTTTCATTTTAATTTAAACTGTCTCTTCGGTTAAGATTGGTTGTTGGGTTCCCAGGTAATTAATTGGTCAAAGAAAATTGGGAAACTTATGCGAAAACCCCGACGAAAGATTCGACAGCGATCCGTTGAGTGGTTTCATCGAGATGTCCCCGCAATCTCAAGCTCGCTGCATATGAGCAGGATTTGTTTTTCTTCTGGGGCACTCCACACATTTCTTTTTTACGTGAATCTATATCCGCCATTTTCCACTTTGTAAATGTAAATGACTGTAAATGTAAACAAAACTCATTTTCCCGCCACTGCAACGCGCGTCTCTCGGCCGTGAAGGTCTGGGATATAATTGAAAACAGAGCATGCGCAGCAGTCGTTCACGGCTTCAGCAAGCCGCGAACAACGTTTGAGTGCATTTATACGAACACTTTCACGTTCAAGGTAAGCCGCGGCTTGGAGAAGCCCATCCCAAAACCCCTCGGCCAGGATAAGCCGCGGCTTGAGCTGGCCTTGGGTTGAATAAGCCGTGAACATAGATTTCGTACCATTTATACAGGGTGTTCGCGTCTTATGTAAGCCGCGGCTTATTTTCTCTCGTATAAACGGCCCTAATGTTGCGTCCGTTTGCACGGGGCTAAAAGTTAGACCGGTTTCAAACTTTGCGCAACAACACCCAACAACATCCAACAACGTGCAACAGGGTGCGCAAACGGACGCAACATGTAACATCCAACAATGCTGGGAGTCAACAATGTTGCGTCCGTTTGCACGCAGCCTTATTCGGCCTACTCTTCAGCCAGTGCGGCGTCGGTGTCCTATTTGCAGCCACGTCTGCCTAATCCGTGTAATTTTGTTTTTGCACTTATAAAAAAATTCCGGTTGATTTTACACAAGGGGCTGTTTATATGATACCGGAACGAGTTTCGTTCCAGAGTGTAGTTCGTACTGCATTCACTTTATAAAAGGGTGCTTAAGCAACTGGATGACGGCGGTAGCGAAAACGTCACCCAAAAAGAGAATTCGCGCTGTTTTAAACTTCATCGCTCTCATTCCAACTCTTTAATTTGTCAAATATTGGCGATATTTTCAGGAGATGAATTTTAAAGCGACTATTCCCGGCTAAGTTCACAAAAAGAAAAAGAAAGTCGTTGTCTTTTGTTCTCGTCCTCCATAAAACGTGAAATTAGACATTTTCAGGTCGTAGTCGTGCAGTGACGGCAAAGAAATGAACAACAAAGCGTGATGCACTTGCAAAGTTGTTGTTTGCTCATCTAAACCTATTGCTTTTTGCCGTTCTCGTTGCTGTCGCCCTCGTCGTTGCTCAAGCTCCTTCTTATTTATCGAACGGCTCAGGCTGAGGCGTTCTCGCTGCACTCGGATGATTTTCGCGCCAGATCAGATTCGCATGCATCACTCGCCCCGGACTACAGGATTTCCGATTTTCAATCCGGAACGAAGTTTGTTCTCAATTTACATGATACAAGAATGAATGAAGCTTCATATCAGAACGAGAATTTCGTTCGGAATGAAAAACCGGAATGAACTCGTTCCCGAACGACTTTTACGGGAACGAAATGTCGTTTCGGTATCATGCTTTGTTAACGAATATAGAGAAATATATGGAGATGGGATGAACTCGTTTCAAAATAAAAGTAGTTCCGTTATCATGTGAATAGCCGTTAAGAGTGTTGGGTAGTGAGCGTAGCGTTCTGAGCCATAAATCCTCTTTACAGAGTTCAAAATATCCTTTGCTCATTCCATTTCTCTTGAAAGGGTGCCCAGTAGGTTTCTCGGGATCCGGGATTTGGCTTCTTTGAAGGCCGGGGTTTCGTGACTTCCAAACACTATGAGGGCGAGATTCGGGAAGCCGAAAATTACCATCGTTAATACGTTATGTTCCCAATTGGGTTATTCAGAATTAATTTTCAAGGCTTTACAAGGATTCATTAGGCTTAACAATGCAGATTCGCAATAAGATACTGAAGTAATAGATCTTGTCTAGTCAGATATCCCTTCGACCATTTAACTGGAATTTTTTTGTCACAGCATTTCTGTCGTGAAACTGGAAGAGGACATAGAAAACGAATCTGAAACGCATTCTGACACCGAGTCCTGCTCAAGCTCTTCACGCACTCGCCGCAACTCTTCAGGAAGACTGGCGCCAAGGGAAGGAACAATACTGAATGAAACTATCAAGGCACATGCAGTCGAGGCTGACGAAGTGTTGCATAGCTCAATGGAGGAGGATGATTTGGTACCCGGAAGTCTTCCAAGAACTCATGGCAAGTTTTCGTCGACGAGTTCACTTCCGGATCATAAGCCGTCAACTTCAACGAACTTGCAATTTTCAACTGAAATCATGCATACTCCTAGTCTCTCATCTTTGGCGCGACAACACCAAAATAGGATTGCTCGCCACGGTAGATTGGGTAAAGCTAAAAGCACACCTTTAGCGCTGAATCAAATTCACGAGGAACGCGAGTCGGATTTGGATGACAGTCCAGCAAATTCGCCCCGCGTTGAACGGACTAGAAAGCACCTCGGGGGAGGGGTGATGAAAGCAAAGAGAACTACGCGCCGCCTGTCTCCGGTACCCTCGGGAGGCAGCCGACGCTCTTCAAGTTGTAGTAGTTCGGATGAAGATGAAATAGAAAAGCACATGCGTCGTCTCAAAACCACTTCCGGTTGTAAACTGAAATCCAGGCGCTCGAATACTGATGATGGTAGCTTCGACGGTGACAGCGGAGGGGGGACTGGGATCGGAGGAGGGGGTAGTCTGGGAACTAGGCGTTTAATTTCCTCCGACAAGCGCTCAAATGGGGAGTCGTCATCCTCGAACAAAAGCCCACCACCTAAAAAGGAGAATAGTGGTAATGACGAGTGTTTAAATTTAAATTTGAATGGATTTGCTCCTTTGTGTGAAGATTTGGATGTTATTGTTGAGAGCAACAAAGAAAACTTGGACCACAATAACTTGAGTAGTGATGTGGACGAAACAGAAAACAGGACAAAATTTGAAGTTTGTAACGACAAAAGGAGCCCTTTAATCGAAGAGAATGACCTGTTTAGTCACAAAGGAGACGGAGAAAACGGGCGAAACACGAGCTTTATTCGGGAGAAAAGAACTAATAGCGCGTCGAAGTACATTCGGACAAATGAGTGTGATGCTGAAATTGAAAACCGGACGTTAAACTGGAATAACACAGGCGTTCAACAAATAAACAAAAATAAGCGAAACTCTTCGACAGAGGATGGCGTCAACTTGGAGCTGACCGACATGAGTCTGCAGTCCAAGGATAATTTGAACCGAGGCGAGGATACCAAGAAAAACATGCGCATACTTCGTAATCCCACAATGCATACGGTGAAGAGTAATTGTTGTCAAATATTTTGATGGTGCAATCTTTTTAATTCATGTTAGTTTTATGTATGATAGCTTTTTTAATCGTTTTACTTTTGAGTTTTTCATAAGACCGCTCAGATTTGCTAACACGTCATTGTAAATTATATCTTCTATATTATTTTACCTTTTTCTCCTGGGGAGGTTTTTTTGAACGTTAATCCATGAATTCCGTCTTTTTTTGGCCGAGGTGCATATCGAGGGAACAAGTCTACTCGTAAGTTTGTAAGTTAGGGAAATATATTTCTTGAGAGGGCCAAGTTACTCCGTATCAAACTGGATGATTTGTTTGCTTTACCAAGAAAACTCTTATTACTGTGAAACCATTATTGCCTACTTCAACTCAGAACACTTCAAAGTGAAACTAGAGAGGTGCGTACAGTCAGACCGATCGATATAGAGTTAAACGATGCCACTCAGTCAAGCTAACTGATCTTAAAGTATAGACATTCGTTTGACCATGACTAGGAGCTTAGTTCTGTTAGCCCTAGAGTCTCTTGACTCGTCTTGCGTAGGGAAATAAATTATATACTCTAATGTTTACACTTTCTTTGAAAACAGCGAGGTGTTGCCGAAATTCTGGCGTATTAATAGAAAAAAATATATATTACTGTACTACCCCGCGAGTAAGAACCTACATTTTCCAAAGTTGTTGAAATGGTAATTAGCGCAAATATAGGCTATTTAGGTTCTTCAAGAGCTTTTTGGTTTTTGAAGAGATAATTACATTGCCAAGTCAGTACGGGTAGTAAAATGCCATTCAGCCTATTACTCCCAAAAGAAAGTAAGTATTAAGTAAGCTTGTCCCAATAACAAAGTTTTTAACTCATTACTGCCTTGTCGATCTTGTAGCGGACTTTTGGTTGGTGAGATAACGCCAACCGTCATTTCAATAGGTTGTGGGGTGTGATTTGGTGTGATACTTTTCTTATTTCCTAGTTATAGAGAGGAGAAGTCGTTACGTCGTGTTGTCATGGTGGCAAAATTTCTGGATGACAACAAACTGAAAACGTCACTTAAAAAGTGAATTCGTACTGTTTGAAACCTCATCGTTCCTATTCAATTTCATTTAATTTGTCAAATGTTGGTGAAATTTTCTGGGGTTGAATCCGATAGGACCGTCTCTAAGGTTAGGAAAAGAACATTTTTGTGCTCTGTTCCCAGCCTACGCTTGAAATTAGGAAGTTTCACGTCGCAGTCGTACAACGACGGCCAAAAAGAAATGTACAAAAAAGCGCGTCGCACGTGCAAAGTTGTTGTTTTGCTTGCATAAACATATTGCTTTTTCGCCAGTGGTCGTTGCCGTTGCCGTCATCGTTGTGCTTGCTACCATGGTAACATGACGTCACACTTCTCCTCTCCATTGGGATAGCTTGTTAACAAAGTGCCCTCAGACGTGATATCAACAGAGCGCCCGCGGGCTTTTATGATTACGTCACGCTCTCAATGCAACCGTTGTCCAAACCAAATGAGGGTTCTGAGGAAAGTAAATGCTCCAAGAAAACGCTGTCTTTTACTGGCAATCATGTCCAATGAATTTCAACTGCTTCTGTAACAAGATGTAGGCAGACGACCTTTTTTCCTCGAAGAGAGTCGAAGAAAAAGTTTTTAGAATGATGTATAAATTGTTGGCTATACAGCGTATTCATTACTCTCTACAACATATTTTGGAAATTATATACCAGTGTAATTAAAACAAGAAATATATATATAACGAACAGTTAATTGATATCATATTCTTTTACATCTTAATTCTTATAAAGAAAGATTGATACAACGTGTAATATTTTTAATTTATTGGCCAGTCTTGACAATGATTGGCGTCGATTGTATACTACGAATGTAAATGAGGCATGCGAGTGATCGCCCACCATGAACCGCTTGAGGATTTAATAAAATTTGAAGCCACTTCAGCCTTTGTTGCCTTCTCTAAGCGACGGTCTCTTTGCATTTTTGTGAGAAAACCAGCTGAATTGCCAATAAAAGAAAAGAGAATGCACGAACTGATTAGACCGATAGGGGCTAGAGTGTCCAGGGAGACCTTGTAGTGATGGCATACCATTGCATACAATAACCATTCACACTTGTAACTTAGAACAGACGCCACTGAATCGTAGTCAACAGTTACCGGCACCGTACAAACTACTTATTGACAGAATCAAAGCAAAACTAGCTTCGAGAGAGCGACTGGACATTTAACTGTGAAAAAAGATGGATCGAAACGCACCAATGACGTTTCGAGCCTTAATAGCCAATAACATCACGGCTTAATTGACAGACAACCGATAACATCGCGACTTAATTGACCAATCAGGTCAATACCCAGAGTTTAATACCATCAACTGACGCGGTACAACTCACTTTGACTCTAAAAATGATTACCTCACAGGTTGTCGAAACGTCAGTCACAGTCAACAACAACAGTCCTATTCAGGACTACGTTCCCCCCGGACGATCCTACTCCGGGGCACTACTTATGCAGTGACTCCTGGGTTCAAACCTTTCACACACTTGTAACTGTTTCATCGGAAAAACAGCGAATTTGCTAGATTGTAGGACGGCTAGTGAATTGGCCACTTAACTAGAGGAGAATAGAGACCTTTAGATTGTCTAGATTCGAGGATGACTACGAGTACGAGATTTGACTTGAAGTTTTTTCGCGTCTTCTCAAAATACAGACTTTCCGGAAAGCTTGATTTTACCAATTTCCACCAGAAAAGTTAGTATTGTTATCTTAAGTGAAGGAGGTTATGCGCTATCCCGATTGCAAAATGACATTTGATATCTTGTTTTCGCCACCACGACATTCGCGCCAAAACTCGTAGAGGAATGATGACGGCTATCACGTTTTCCCGCCAAAATGACGCTGGTTCAAGCGCGTGCACTACTTAGTATTGAGAAAATCTCGTACTCGTAGTCGTATTCGTCTTAGAATCTAAATGTCTCTAACGAAGGTGGGCCGCGTTAACTTTCGCAAAAACATCCGGGACTGTTACTGGGGACGGGAGAAAACAAATTGGCCAATAGCTGACAGGCGCGTCTTCAGTAACGCTCTCAAAAACAATTGAGGGACCAACCTCGTTCCCAGGTTCTCTTGAGGGACGCGTTTCTCGTTTCTACCTCAGTTCACTTCTCGTTTCTGAAGTGGTGAATTTACGTCAGACGCGCGCAATAAACGTTGCCATACCAATGCGGAAGTTCTTTTGAAACGTCAGAATTCTCGAGTTTGCTACCGTTCTAGCTGACGCGCGTTTCAAATTGTGCCTGGAGAAAAGCTGCGGTGCATTCAGTTTAACGTCTTTTACGAAAGATGTGTGGGTCACTTCTGTCAAAGTTTAAGGAAACAACAGATAAAGTTGATCATGCAAAAACTGTTTCCCCAGACCCTTTGAAGCTTATTGATAAATTCTCCTTAAAGGGCAGAGTGTCCAGGAAAGACGGAGATCGAAATGGTGAACCAAGTGCTCAATCGTTGGCCAAAATTCCCAGAAAAACGTTAGGCATCAATATGTCATATTCTTTGACGCAGGAAGGATTCGAAGGTGAGCGAGGGATGTACTTTGAACAGAGTAGGGTAAGCTCGTGTAGAACAAAAAGAACGTGTGATATTTTCATGAGTTTGTTGACACGAAATTTGTCATTCACCTTTTTCGAAGTTTAAAGCAACCTGACAAGTTCTACCTTTTCTTTTTCCAGAGCCAGGGAAGGGCGTGGTTGGAGATTCGGCTTGTTACCAACACATAGGGTTCCAAAAGGGCGGAGAATCCAGAAGTGCTCCATCTATGGCTTTATGTCCGAGAAATAAACCAGCGGGTCCCGCTATTTTCAGTTCGTTGTCGGATGTAGAATGTTTACAACAGGCACTGAAGGGCGCAAAGTCTTCTACGGGGAGTGAGAGGTTCGAGCCTAAAGTCGGAGAGCAGAACACAGGGAGCCCAGTGGAAAGACAGAAACAGGAAGTGGAGGGTGGAACTTTTGACCTACAAGACTTGGAGACTTACGAGGCTTCCGATAGTGACGATCTCTCATGGGGAGACTGATGAGATGGGCGGGCTAATCAAAAAAGCTCCTAACAGGCCCTTGAATTCTTTACACTGCGCGATCCCTAATTTTTGAATCACTGGAGAAACGAACATTCGTTCATAACAGCTTGCCTAGACCCTAGGCCTCATTATTCCGCGCTGCCAATGAGTTTCGGGTCACGAGGTCCGAGCGAAGAAGTTTCCCGCCGTTCGCCTCGGATAAGTCACCGAAGGTTATTGACCTAGAAGGCCTAGGAAAACGCCGTAGAGGGACTAAGCAACATAANAGGTTCGAGCCTAAAGTCGGAGAGCAGAACACAGGGAGCCCAGTGGAAAGACAGAAACAGGAAGTGGAGGGTGGAACTTTTGACCTACAAGACTTGGAGACTTACGAGGCTTCCGATAGTGACGATCTCTCATGGGGAGACTGATGAGATGGGCGGGCTAATCAAAAAAGCTCCTAACAGGCCCTTGAATTCTTTACACTGCGCGATCCCTAATTTTTGAATCACTGGAGAAACGAACATTCGTTCATAACAGCTTGCCTAGACCCTAGGCCTCATTATTCCGCGCTGCCAATGAGTTTCGGGTCACGAGGTCCGAGCGAAGAAGTTTCCCGCCGTTCGCCTCGGATAAGTCACCGAAGGTTATTGACCTAGAAGGCCTAGGAAAACGCCGTAGAGGGACTAAGCAACATAATAGCCACGAAGACAGACAAAGAAATATCATAGCTTTCGCGAAACGATGTTACCCATGCCTCAAACATGCCAGAGCAAACGTAGATTTATCGATGAAAATTAATGTTTTCAATTTCATTTCTTAGAAGTTGGACGAACCTTAGCCTATACAAAAAGCTGTCCGCGCTCACGGCTTTTAGCCGTAGCCTTCTGTTAGACAGACCCGGGGGGACTTTTCCCATTTATGGGCTAGATAGGTAGATAGGTATTTGCCGCCTGAAAGGTTATGGTTTTTGAAGATCTTGATCCTTAAATAAGCTATCATATTTGCCATTTTTGGCATTTTGTGTTCGCGATTTGATCCCTAGATCCCCGGCCCTAGATAAGGTATCTAAATCAGTATCAGCTAAAGTCAAGCGCGTTAATGACCAGCTGGGAAGATATGGCAGCTGACCGCAGCAGTTGGCGCGAGAGACGACTCGAGGCAGGGGAGGAGCAGATCCAGACCTTGGCCGAGGAAAAGAGAGCCAGACGAAAGCAGGCACAAGTGAGGCAGACCCAGCAGACTCGATTCGGACTGTCTAGTAACAGCCGACGATGTGCCAGCCGTGAAAGTACCACGGCATCCAACTGAGGGCGCATCATCCATGGTCGAGACCGACCGACGGAAGCCATACGTCTAAATGCCCAGCTACTCTAGAAATAAATCATCTATTAAAATTGAACTATCCCTTAGTTTTATTTAAAATAGTATCACTTCACGCCATTTATTTCTTAGCTAATGGACTTTCCCTCGAGTAGGGTGTCGTTTTTGGGTTTGGGCCTTGAACAGCTGCAGGGTGTCGATTTTTGTTTTTCTCATCCTTAAATAGGGTCAGGGTTTAGGACCCTGGGTAGTACACGCCCATTCAAAGTTTATGGGAATAGCCCATCCCTGGCCGGCAGAAGGACAAGTCGCTAGTGGACCCACAGGGCACAGGTCGTAAAGGCCCCGATCGAAACTCGACTCCAGTTCTTGGTCAGTGACGTCACACACGAGATAAGCCAATGACTACGCCTGAGCCTTGGGGAGGGTCAAAACAGCCGAGAAGGACTCGTCAACGAAACGAGCAGAGAGAATGAAAACTTTTTTATAAGCTATATATCCGACAGAACCCATTTTTAGTCTTTTATTCAGCAGTGAGTGTTAAATCAAAAAAACCTAACAATCGCCATTTGCCGATTTTTTCACCCGATTTGGCATTAAATGGCCATATTTGTAAATTAAAAATTTGGAAATTGCTTGTTTACCCACGAAGCACATAGAAGTTCATATGAATCCGTTAAAAGTGTCCGTGCGTTCCAGATCGAATTGGAATTTGGTAGTGTTGGTTTTTGAGGAGAGGGGAAAACCGGAGTACCCGGTTGGTTGCTTTATATGCTGAAAAGTGGATTTTCTCAAACAACCTGGTACTTTGCTTAACAAGAATGTGACATATCGGTGTAAAAGAGCATTTTGAGTATCAGTTTTTAGAGCCTTTATTTGATATACGGAATTCTATTCTCCAGAATGAAATTATGTTTATTTTATACTTTAAGATTTCGCGGTGTTACAACTTGAATAATCCCATCTTGTTTTACTGATTCCGCGCTCCGGACCTTTGTTCTGGTTAACTCCGAAGAAGCGATTTCTTCCCTAAGTGACTGAAATCTGATATGTCAATTCGAACTATCGAACGAAATGATTTCAAAACTAATATATAATTTCAAGCAAAACCAGATGGGAAAAAAAACCTTAAACTCATGATTGCCTAATTTCACGCGCTTGAAAACAGCTAGCAGAGCTCGTAAACGTCTCTAAAATTATATACAGGTTAGAATTCATGTCATTCATTCTTATTCATTTAAAAAGAGGAGCCGGCAGTTTTCGAGTACCGAGAAGAAAATGTCGAAAATCTAACGAAACGTATCAAAGGAAATTGACTTTGGCTCCAACTGAGCGATAAAAAGAGCAATTATTCCTGCGTCATCAAACTTTCTGGAAAAAATATTTATCGTAGATCGTTCCAAGCAATTAAGCCTAACAACAAATTGACATGAGTGTGCTAGAAACCTTGCAATTAATTTAAACGTCTTTATTAATTATTTCAGCCGAAATTATCGAATGAGGAGAGTTTAGGCTTTAAATGAATAAATTTTTGCTGAAAATGGTTAGAATAGAATTCGAACTTCTTATTCGATTTGTTGTGTAGCTTTGATAACCCTTTGAAACAGCTGCAAAATTTTCCTTTTCAGGAGCGATTT